GTACGAAAAATCGCGGCGCCGGCTGTAGGTGAGGGCGATAACGGATAAATCAGCCCTGACGCGCCGATCGAACGCTGATATCTTCAAAAAAAGAACCACTCGTCGGGCTTTTCTTTCTGGTAAAGGCCTTTTTTGTAACGCTTGCTGCTCATCGCGACTCCCTCCGAATTGCGCTTTGGATCCAGCTCCGAACCACGTGAATCCATGGCGCAGCGAGAAATGGACAAGCGCCAATGATTCATGTACCGTGTGCGTGGCTTCGGCGCGCACACTGAGTGGAAGACTGTCGAGTTTCTTGAGAAACTCGACGCTGTGCAAGTGTGCAGCTGGTGCGGCGTGGCTTCGGCAAAGTCAAGTGTTCTGTCGTGCTCACACATGGTCTGCGAGGAGTGCCGTACTATTGCTCACAAAGAAGCCGGTCCTGTGTGCTTGATTGACAAAAAAACTCTTAATTCTCAAACAATCTCTGACGCCGGATGGTACGGTGCATTGGAACACAGGAAAGTTCGCTGTGTGAACGTCGAGAGTGGCTGCGATTTTACCGGACGAATCAACCAACTTAACGACCACTTAAGCACGAGCTGCGCTTTCTACCTCAAGGAGTGTTCAAAATGCAAAGAGGCTGTAGTCTATAAGGACTTAGTCAGCCACTATAAAGCGTGTACAGGCGTGGCTGTAGTTTTCGTTGATGCCGGGGACAGCCAGTCACTCCTGGACGACATTGAAAACGTCCGTCGAGAGCTTGAACAGGCGCTGGCCTTGACAAGTTCGGACGTTCGGGACGCCGTCGGCTTGCTCACGGACCAGCTTGAAGTGCTTCGAAGTCAGCTGACTACGCGTTCAGAACGTCGAGAAGACAGCTTGACTTTGGCCGACAGCAAGCAGTGACGTGTAAAGCCTACCTGCTTCGAACCGACGCCCGCTGCTCCCTTGTGTTTCTTTCCAGAGAAGTTAAGAACATTCACAACCTATTTTTGTTTTTGTTTTTTCTTTCTGTACCTGCGTGTGGAAGAAAGACAGCCGAATCGCGGTACGTTCTCAGTTACATATTCCGTGTCTTCTGATAGGAATTGCGTATTGTCGAGCTGTTCATGATATGTGGGATTCACAATTGAAATAAACAATTTTACGAGCCTACCCGCCATGGTGATAAAGTGCCGGCCCGAAGGTCGCGGGGTCGAATCGCGGCCGCGGCGACCTCATTTCGATGGAGGCACAGTGCTGTCCGGCGACCTCAGTGCGATGGAGGCACATACACTGTCCCTCATATCCGGTATTGGGGACATAATACTCTAACAATTATTTTTAAATATTGTTGCGAGCCATTTGACGTTTCTACAGTAGCAATTCAGCACTTTTCTCATGTGGCCAGGACAGCCAGACGTGTCGAGCTCATTGACCCGCTCACAGTGTCCATTGCAATGAAGTGTCACTTTGGTTAAATTATTTGACATCCAAGCAATTTTGGCAAAGCTCTACAGTGTTGATGATTAATATGCATACACTGAAACATGTACGCCCCATAAAGTTGGCAAAACTTGCAACTAAGCCGCATGCGACTTCAAACAGCTAAACTGGATAATTCTGAAGACTATAATTTGCTCCAAAGCTTTATTTATTCATTTATTCACAAAGCCCCCGCAGACTCCGGCTGGAGTATTGTGTTAGAGGAGGGATTATACGGGGCATAATCACATTAATTGAAGCATCAAAACACAATTATGTGTTACAATTAGGTTGTTTCTAGGTTGATTCTCAGCACAAAGAAGTTTGAGTTAAACCACAGGCAGTCGCAGACACGACACGGTTGTCGAAACTTTAGAGACTGCCACTCGCGCTGATACTGCATGCACACCTCTCATACAGATCTACGAGCTCATTGTTGTTCGTGTGGCCTTACCATTGGAAGCAGTATTCATGCAGCCCCAGTTGCCTTTTATGTTCCCTAGTATTCTCTTGTTGCACTACAGACTTGACGTCTTCAACTTGCCGATATTCCTTCACAACTATTTCTTGGATTGACTGTTGCCTTTTTCATTTCTAGTGGACAAGGGGTGACAGTGGGATTTTCCCCATTTTAGTGGCGCACATACATTTATGATGATTATATTTTCTCGCAGCTGCCATTGCCTTTCTTGTCATCTAGTGTTGGGCTAACTGCGTGATCTATGAGATCCTATAAATCTCTGGGAGGTACGAATGCTTGGTTTCACCGTGATTTCGTCTCTGATTGGACACTAATGTTGTGCCTCTGACTCTATGACAGGGGTGAAAGCTTGGTTTCAGCGCAAGTTTCTGTCTCTGGAGTTTGGACATTTGTGCCGTGCATGTGACTGTTAGTGGTTTCATTCGAACCTCTATGCGGTGATAACCAACATAAACAAAAATTTACGTCAAGTAACTAAAGCCGAGGAATGACCTGGAAACAACCTAAAAGCAACCACATTAGTCTTCAGAGTCATCCAGTTTTGCTATTTCAAGGTTTGCACAGCGTAGTGAGAGCTTCAATTTTTTCTAACTACATTTGAGTGGGCTGATACAACATTAAGAATCTGTTTCACGGACAGCACCAGTAAGTATGGGAAACCTTCAACTGAAGGTTAAGATCGAGCAGTTGCGGGAAGTTGTGCTTTGTAACCTCGCATGTAACCTCGCTTCTAAACACCGCCAACAGATTGAAAACAGTTTCAGGCAATGCAACATATTTCACAACCATTACATAGTCGTCCACATGTTCGAATTCACAGTTCCACTGAGGATTCTGTCCACAATGAAATCAATTTCAGCTATAAATATTTGATACAAAACAGGTGCCACGTACGAGCCTACACAAACTTGTGATTGATGGAATAGACTCTCTCCTTGTCAACCGGCAAAGATGCAGTGTAGGTAAAAAGCCCGTGATCCAGTGAATGATTCCACAGGAATGTCACTACGACTCCTGAAACAAGGCTTACCATTGCATTCCTTCATACATTCTTAGACGCACTCAAGAAGCTTTCCATTAGAAATAGAAAAAAAAAACCTTAATACTGAACGTCGGAGAGGAGCTTCGGTCACACTTTCTAAGAAATTGAAACATCATGTATGAGTTTTTTTACTCTAAAGGGATCATCCATGGACCGCTGCTTCAAGTGGCTTCTTAAATGGCTGGAAATATTTTTTGCCACGTATCTCTTTCTGCAATATTTTCATGTTCACACAGCGCATGGAACGAGGACGACAATGAAGGACACACACAGCACTGAACTTGCGACTGGCTTTATTTTTCTGCTTAGAGCAATATCCTAAAATATCTGCTTAGAGCAAATCCAGCAAAAGTGTAACTGCCTGATCAGTGACCTTGGACAATGTCATAACGGCAGATTCAAAATATTTTTTTTTATTGCTTTGCCTTGCATGTGTTGCTTCGCACGTATTTCAGAAAATTTTCATTAATATTATTGAGCATCGAACAGCTTACACAAACATCCTTTCTAATTATGGACACGGAATTGGGTACTGAAACAACAAACAGCACTCTCAGAATATATTTGCAAACATCACATGTTACTTTATGAAATTTTTAGTGCTCCTGAGTATTACAAAAATATTTTATCTCCAAATTAGTACAGTAATTGAGTTTTTTTCATTTTTCAGATGAATAATGACATGGTCACCAAAACGACTGGGGTGTCTGTCATGGAATGGCTGCGCTCTTATCGTTCGTCTTCCAAGGAAAACACCTTGAAGAGAATAGTACAAGTCGCAGCATTTACTACTACAAAATCAACTTGTTGATATCCTAACTTTGCCTCCCTTTGGCATGCTTGCCTTAAATTGGAATCCAGTCTGTCACTCGTAGTTGTCAATAGTGTCTAATGATACGACCACTTTATATCAACAGAAGACATGGCCTCCATAATTGTAGAGGATGAGCGTACCGAGGCTGTTAGTGATTTATGCATAAGTGAGCCATCTCCCGTGTTTACGCCTGAAGAGTTAGATTTTATGTGCAAGCGGTGATAATGCATTATGCCCCAGAATTGGTACTGTGGGTACGGCATTCAGGTTCCGACCTGAATGCGGGTTCGATCCCACGTTCTTTGAGTCAGCAATCCTGCATTACAATGGAAGTGACATATAGTGCCAGGCCACTATACACAGAGCTAGATAACTGTGAAAAATCTTCAGGTTGTCAAAATTTCAAGGGCTATCCACTGCTGCGTGTCTTATAACCATATTGTGGTTTAGATATGGAAGACGCCCCAAATAATTGCTATATTCCATAACAATTGTGGCTTGTATTTCTAATTTCTAACTCATTTTTATTGTTATATCATTTACATAGCCGCTCAGTGTGCATTTTTGCAGACACGGTCATATTCCTTAAATAAAGCCTAAATCAATAACATTATTTCGCTTGTCCTATGTCCAAGAGAAGGCGGACAAGTGTTAGGCAATGTCTAGCAAAGATGAAACATGCTCCTCATCTCTATCACGCAGTATCTTAAGGGGATGCTCGCGGCAGAAAATGCGCGCTTTGATAAGCTGGGTGTAAAGTATGAAAATGCACTCTTTGACCAGCCCTAGCCATATCTTCGCTAGTACTAATCAGCAGATGAATTACAGCTTTGTATGAGAACTGTTTGTGTTAGCATTACAAAATTTACATTGAAACGATAAACAAAACAAGGATTGCATCTCTCACTAGGGGTGCCGTATTTCATTTTGGTTACGCCAGGTCTTACTCCAAAGGAGGGAACTGCTAGCTTTAGTTCGTATAACATTTCAGTTATTTGATAGCACAATCATTAGACCTTGCGGCAGTAATGCAACCGTTTCTTCCTCGCAACTGCATCTTGGTTATTCGTCACAATCCGAATTGCAAAGGCGCATGAAGTCTGGTGGGGTTTTGAAAACAAATACTTTAGTTGCTATTAGTGCCGCATGCACGTTTTTTGTGTACTTTTGTTGTGTTCATGCTGCAACTAAATTTATCAATATACAATATTAACAAGTATGCATTGCCAAACGCATTTAATACATGGTTTCAGCTAAACAGCTATACAAGGTCTTCAGATTGAAGCTTTCCGCACTGACGTTATGATGACTTCGAATCTCTCTCCGCTTTCTCCTTTAGCCACAAGGCCTTCTTTTCACTGAAAAAGTTGCAAAAGATAAGTATTTCAATACACATTCAACACTGCAATCAACACTGCAAGTCATCATTAATTGACTGTGCAAGATCAGAGGGTCAAAAAAAGTACAAAAGAAAGGTCACACTAGTGAGTGTGCTCGTGTAGCGACCAATGCGCATCCTTGCCTGTGCACAAGAAACACTTCTCAACACGAAAGACCCATGAAGTGGCTGCGCCGTGAGCTCACAACTTAAGCTAAATTTTTATGGTGGACCATTGTTCTAATATAACACATGAAGTGACAAAGCTTATCAACTGTTGCTTGCATCTATTTTCCAAAACTGCAAATCAGCTCGAACGGCCAACATTTTTTATTATACTTCATTAGTAGCAGACATATTCAATAACCACAAACAGCAAAAAAACTTGACTTCTTGAGGATGGTGATTCAGTGGTCCTAGACATTATGTGCACCTTGGGTGTCTTTATTAAACAATGCAAGGGCAAAGGCAAAACGTCTTTGCAGCACGTTATCTTAACTCATTAATTTACATAATTTTATGTAACTCAATCAACTTTCAGGATTACACTTACCAAAAAAAAGCTACGTATTCTCAATAAACGTCATTGTATTTGATAGCCAGCAAACACGCTACTTGAAAATTCCACTTTTTGCATTTTGGAAGAACAGCGCACACAAAGTTCACACTGATGCCACCAAACATAGCCCTCTGGGTCCTACCTGTACTCCTGCATCCAGTAGTCATGCTGCCAGTACCTAAATTCCTTCACCGTCACCCCCAATGCCTTGGTGCCTACTGTCAGTGCTGATCCTGACGCAAGTCTGTGGAAACAAAACGACTGAACTGTTGAACAGTGTTGTCCCTGTCGAAGACCCGCATGCCTCGAAAATCACTAATTTGCAGCCCTGTGACTGGCGGCCTACTGTCCAATCTATTGGGTGAAACATGGCCACCATGACAGCATTAATTTAAAACCCAACCGTCGCGGCCACATTTTCAGTGGAGGTGAAAACGCTCAAGTCCAGTGTACTCAGCTTTAGATGCCTGTTGAACACCAGGTGGTCAAAATTTACGGAGTCCTTCACTACGGCACACCTCAAAATCATATCATGGTTTTGGGATGTTGTGCCCCAACAGTTATTATTTTGACAGTATAAATTGCAACACCAATCGATATTGTACACATATCATATAAATATTATGAAGTCTTGGCTCTTCTTCTCCTCTTCATTATTCGATGTTATGCATTGTTAAAAGAGCTTTTGTTTGCTACACTATGAAGAAGTGAAGCATTCAAATTTTGTAGCCATTATGCGGACCCAAAAGGCTCTTACCATCACCATCATGTTCCCTCTAATGTCCTATTCAATAACATCACCTTGTGTGCTGTATGTTATGCGTGTGAGCAATAGCATGCAAAGGCTGTTGACTACACAGGTGCACCATCTGCGCCAATTTGGTACAATTCTACATTCTTGCGCTGAGCTGTGCTAAAACCATGAAATTCGCTGAAATTGAGCCCCGATGCACCAAAATATCCGAGCAGCCTCGAAGTTTTCTCAGTTGTCCTCATTTCATCGAGCAATGGCAGCCACATTGGCTTTCTGCTTGCACCTTGCGTCATCGATCAATACAAGTGTGCAGGCCCTGCACTCTAAACCATGGTGTAAGATATATTCCGATTAGGTCAGTGCACTTGCGACACGAGATTGACCAGATAAAGTAACAAAGTTGCGCGCCATTGGTTCGCTGACTGCTGCCAATACCTATCGGCGAGGCGTTGCAACTTGAAAACAAAAAAACGTTGCGTAACCACCAACACTTCGCGGGAAACGTGAACTTCCTTCTCGGCAAACGTGGCTATAGCATGTTAGCCACTAAAGCTGAAAGCGTATGCCGTGTTACCCGTGCGCAAACAGATTCGACGTGCTGCGATAATGGGCGTTGCCGGCGACCACGTTGTTTGCTATAGCAACGGCACATAAAACATTTCTCTGTATTGAAGTTGCATTGCCCCGACGATAGATATCCGGTGCCGTCGCCAGGCCAACAAGTGCGCGTTGTTGTTACTTTGTTTGGTCGAACACACCTTCCGAGCGAGACAAGAAGTTGTGCCCGAAACCTAACCTCATCGATGAAGAAAAAAAAAGAGAGGGGGGAGAGGGCGCAGCAATGTTTTATTACTTGTTCCAACTCATGAAGAACGCAGCTTAATTCAACTTCGCCGCCGTACATTGGTGCCTTGCGGAAAGACGCGTTTCAGTTTTGAAGGGGCTGTTAGCATTAATCACGGGACCAAGCACATTTTGTTCAACTACTCATGGGTCTATACGGGGGCATAATTGTGAGTACTAGTATAACAGATGATGTCTGAAAATGTTACTGGCAATTATTTGGAGCAGCGTATGTCATTTTTGATGCCCTAAAAGAACTGTAAGCAAGTTTTTATTTTTTCACCACCCTTACGAATTTCTGAATTTCAAGCTCGCCAGCTTAGCAGTTCCACATTTGAATTTGCAGAGTCAGACACCACAAATGCAAATGAAGATATCATCACTATTTGCTCAGTGAGGTGGTTCATAATACTAATTTTATTAAAAAAGCAGTTATCTTATTCACATTGCACAATTTAGGGCAAGTTGAATGATTTGTACATATTTTTTTCTACATCCAACACTTCTTTTTCATACTGCTCCAAATTTGAATTTTTGTGCTCCAGAAGCAAAAATTTGCTGCTTCTAAAACTGCTCCGAATTCTATTTTGGCTGTTGCACCCCTGCTGACGAACACAAGTGAAGCAGAGAGAGAACGTTCCAGCCGGCTCGATCGTGCGAAGGAGCATGGGCATGAAAGGTACTGGCAAGGGGGGAGGGGGCTACATCATTTAGGAGGAACTGCAAAATTTGATCAAATAAGCGCAGTTGCGCACAAGCTGTGTCGATGAACATCATCAGCTGATGGCTCATGCCCCAGTACGCACTGTGTTTTTACCACTAATATTGCGTTGAACGGATAAAGCGAACAAAAGCTGCTTTTTCTCGCTGCTGCAGCCATGTTCCCTTACATTGTAGAGTTATGCCAGACTGAATCTTGAGGGAGTCCTGCAACACTTTTCGGAGTAGCCACGAAATTGGTTCAATAAAAGGACTTATTGCCTCACGAATTCACCGCTGCAAAAATTTTTGGAATCCACCCAGTAAGAGCGGAGTTACAAAGCTTTGTCACACGCTGTAATTGCATTCTCTCTTCTCTCGTCCCGACGAAAGTGCTGGAAGTTAAGCAAGAAGGGATGGCACGGGGCGAGAAAATACATACCGCACGCTTCGCGACTTTGAGCACTTTTTCCTGCTTTTTGTTTTTTCTTCGAATAGGCGGCTTTTCAGTACGATCGTGCACAGTCGCAGCCTCCCGCAGTGGCCCAAGTAACAACCAAGTGCGCCCTGCTGAAATCAGTCAATGGCTGATACAATTGCTGTGACGAGTAATTTTCGAGCCTGTGTCGTCGTTTGTGTAGAAAGGATGAAGCAATTTATAGACCACTTTGATAATTTATTGTGAATTCCAGGCCGTGCGCTACGCTATAATATTTGGCTCACCGTTTTCTCGGGAGCATCGACTAGCTGTCGCCAGCATTTTCTGACCATGCCCAAAAAGCTTTGTGGGATCTCTTTAAAGAAGTTAGCTGCTAGCCTTACTTTTAGATCATTCCATCTGGCCGCATTCATTGCTTCATCCCTGCAGCAAAAATGTGGCATTAATTAAAGTGAAGCTTTCTATGCATCATTCGAGAGTGCATACAATGTACTGTTAGAAACGCAACTCACGCAATAGAACTGATTATGCCTTTGCGCACATATGTATACCAATGGTGCACCACATACGTATCGTAGAACACTACAGCTTGCATTGCAATTGCCATGGTGTGAGAACCATGGCAATTGCAATGCTATGCAACCTGGAGAAAATGTATATATCTGCCCTTTTTTATGCAGAATGTCTGCAACAAACTCTGGTTCGACAATCAGGTAATCTTGATGTACAGCACTCACTAAAATTATCAGTACAGCAAGCTGTTTGACAGACTTTGTGCTATAGAACATTGGAACATTTTTATTCATTTAATTTATTAACTCCAAGGGCCCAAGAATGGGTGTTACGTAGGGGGGAATACATTACATAGTGCAGCGTAATAATGAAGAAAGAGGCATGACCAAAAAAAGCAATAACAAGCAAACATAATGTAAACACAATGTAAAAAAGGTGAACACAGTTCAATAATATTAAAGGTCATGTAGTGTATAATAAATGCATAGAAATATCTGTTAAATAAATTTATTAATCTGATATCATTTCTTTATCAAACGTATTCTATTTTCGTTGGTCAAGTTCTATATTTTGTAATTATGTAATCTTATATTATGATGATGCACATCTGTTCTTGCTATTTTTTTGCATATTACTGTACTAGATTCAATTTGTAATTCCTTATTAAATACTTTGTTCATGATATATATTTTTTACGAACTGAGAAACTTCAGCTATAGATATCTCAATCTGACGCAGAGTATTATGTTTGCAATTTAGTTATAAATGATTTTTTTTTGTTAATGATTTCGAACGGTTTTACTAAATTTGCTTGTCTATTTCGTAATGGGCCTCCATAATTCATGTACGGAGGATTCTGGTGCGCTCTCCACACCCACTTCTGCATGTGCTTTTGTTTGCAATCCTGATTCACAGAATTCAAACATGAGCTACTAAAAGAAAACACACCAGGAAAGAGGACAGGTGCCCACAAAATAAATAAAATACAATTGAGCCCTTTTATAAGAGCACCGATGTAACAGACAGTTGGACATAAAAGACACAAGCATTGGTTGGCAAACTCGCTCATAGAGCTGTGAGTCTGAGTCCAAGAGAGTCCAATTGAGCAAAATTTTAGCGAGTCTACGTTCAAGTGAACATTGTCGAGGAACAGTTTCGCGAATCTGAGTGACTTCACTTCTTTAAAATTTTTGGTGAGGCTGAGCCCTAAGCAAAAATAAGAATAATAATAATTGCTTTAGGGAGTCTGAGTTACCTCAGTTTATATTGCTAACCGGTGGACACAAATGTGCTGACATTCACATAGAAGTTTATCAGAAAATGAGAATGCTATGAAAGACGCTTCACGCAAGGCCCTGTGCATGTCTTTTATTAAGAGGATCAAGTGTATCAATGAAACAGTACGCGAACTAGTAAGAATACTTGTGAGAGCTTTCCGTGTCTAGAAAAAATGACCGCTCAACAAACACCACTCACCCAAGTAAGCTCCCAAGCCCAGCGCCAACGAGTGAGCCACGAACGCCCATGTTGAGTTTGAAGAAGAAGCCCGAGAGTGCTGGACGAAAAAATGGCACAAAACACTCATGCATACAAACACGACGAGATTCACAGCTGGGCCTGTGTGAATACTAGGGTTACTATTAAGGCATTCGCAAACACTTCAAATCGAATTTAAAGGTTAACAAAATTTCAAAGTGTTTCAAGTGATTGTATAGGTGCATTCTATCACATGTAACCCACCTAAATGGGCTTCATTGCATCGTAGAGCCACTGCATCGTAGGCTCCCCCATAGATGCGAGTCAAACAGTAATAGCACATTGCGTTGCATGGAACTTACAATTAGGTTTAAAAGTCAGCTGGACGTTGCTCGTTCTTTCTTTGACAAGTGATTCCATAAACACAAACCTTACAATTGTTGGCTTCATAGTATGATGAGCAGGAGAGGTTGTGATCTCCCTTTCATTTTAGTGTCTCTCCCTATCTCCCCATTGGCTGATTTGAGCATTGCGAACTGCATTGCTACCGTGGCCACTGCTGGTGACCGGCAGCATTTTACAACTAATGTTTGAAAAGTGCTGTATGGCCCCTTAAACCCCTGAGCATTGTATGCTCTATTATCGGATGCATTATTCGAAGGTCGCATGTTCGATCTTTGCCCACAGCAAGTTATCTTTTCGTCCACTTTTCTTCACATTTACATCACGATTACTTCTAATAACTTCCCCTATACTTTCCTTGACATAATTGTCTGTTAGATCTTTTATTATTATTGTGTCTAACAAAGGCGAATGAGCCCTTAAATGTACACTTCTTTCTCTGATGCTAGATGGCCATACTTGTCCATGTTGAGACTTTTATGTCTAGGCTTTCATTTTATAAACATTTTTCATTGTATTGCCATGTATTAAAGCAACCTTCAATATTTTTCACCTGCATGATTAGTGAAATAAAGAAACCCAACAGAATGGTACCATTTTATGAAGAAAAAAATGCTCTATAAAATGAGCCAAAAAGATTTTATCAGTAATTTTGGTTCAACATTCTTCTTTCTTTAGGTTGTGAAAGAGTTGATGTCATTTACTACCACTAAGATGTCAGCTGAACCTGGTCGTAGTTTACTCTGTTGCACTCTGCTGTCTTCTTATCAGTTAGTATTACTACCGTTACTTCTCGTTCACTCGCACCCCATGTGCATTGTAACTTCTTGAGTTTCTTTGTTATTTCCTGACTTTTTGCCTTCTAAGCTAGAAGAGGCAACATGCAATGATCCAACACATTTTGCTTTAGTGATGATGGTTGTCAGTCATGTGTTGAAAATGCCAACACATAATGAAAGTGAGCACCTTTCTTTGGCCACTTCAACTCATATAAACCACTTCAGAACACGTTTCCAGCTGATAGCAAAACACATTTCTTTGTACACTTGTGCATATTGGTTAAAAAATCACTAAACATGTTGTACAATAGTGACGGCTGGGGTGGTTGGTGTGTTATGATGATTGCTATTGCGCAAACTGAAGACCACAACTCAGAGACAAACTTATACAAGCACTAACTTCCAACTTAGTTTATTTTGCAGACTGCGAAAATATATAGTAGGTGACCAAAGACATGGTACTAAAGGTTAGCAATGCAAAAAAAGTTGAGAAATGCAAAGAAACTGTTACTTGGCACCAGCACGAAGTGGTAGTTTTTGATTTTAATGTTTTCCTTTGGTTTTTGTTGTTTGAATTTATTGCTTTGCTCCAGTTTACACTGCTCATCTTTTGTCACATGCTTTTGTCGTGCATATACGAGGTCTGTTAGAAAAGTATCTGACCTTACTTTTTTTTTTGCAAGCACCTGGTGGATTTGAAACGAGCACGCTTGCATCAGCCAAACTTGAACCTTCCTGCGCATGCGTGAATTTTTTCCCCTCCTGCCAACAGCGTCAATCGCTGGGACGCAGTGTTTGAATGAAGTAGTGCACAGTGCTCAACGGTTTTTCATTGTAAAGAAAACGACGAAGCGACTGGAGCAGTGCTAGTGCATCAAATTTTGTCAGAAGCTGGACGACAGCCAACTGGAAACCACTGGGAAGATCAAGACGGCTTTCGGTGAGGACGCTACGAGCTGCACACAGAATAAGGAGTGGCACAACCACTTTAAAGACAGCCGCACATCGGCGGAGAGCGAGCCACGCTCCAGTCAGCTGTCAACATGCCGAAATGACCAGGTCATTGCCGAAGTGAACTCTGTCGTGATGCGGGACCGTCGTTTGACTACCCGAGAAATCGTGGAAGAGGTGGGCATCATCACTTTGTCTGCACATTTCATTACGACAGAATATTTAGCCATGAGGAGAGTTGTGGCAAAATTCGTTCTGAAAGTGCTCACGGTGGAGCAAAAGCAACTTTGTGTTGAAGTCTCACAGGACATGCTGAATTTCACAAGCAGTGACCCTAACTTCGTGAACACCATTATCACTGTTGACGAGTCTTAGGTGTATGATCATGACCCTAAAACCAAGTGCCAGTCGTCACAATGGAAGCAATCCACGTTACCAAGACCAAAGAAGGCCAGCCAAGTGTGCAGCAATGTCAGAGTGATGATGAATGCATTATTTGACTCCCATAGTGTCTTTTTTGTCTTTTGTCTGAAGGCCTGTACATACTTTCCATTTTATTATTATTGTGTTTGCCGATTTATAAAACTAATAAATGCATACCCACTCTGCTAAATCCCTCTGTGAGGGTTGCAGTATTGATAAATAATTAAATAATAAATAAATTGTACACCATGAGTACGAACCACATGGTCAAACAATCACCAAAGTGCACTACAGGGATGTCTTCTGTCGCCTACGTGATGCTGTGTGGCGCAAGAGACCCGAGTTATGGTCATCAGAAAACTGCACATCCATCACGACAATGCTCCTGCACATTCCTCACACTTGGCTCAGACTTTTTTGGAGAATATTCTAACTGTTGTACTTCAACAGGCTCCTTTCTCTCCTAATATGGCCCCCTGTGACTTCTGGCTGTTTTCCAAACTCAAGAGGACATTGAAAGGAGAGCAATTTCAGACAACGCAGGACAATAATGGCTGCAATGACCGCTGAGCTAAACTCCATTCCAAAAGAGGCCTTCTCAGAATTCTTCCAACAATGACAGCATTGCTTAAAGAAGTGTGTGGAGTTCCAAGGGGACCACTTTGAGGGCGATTAGGTTTCCAACGCTCCAATTATGCCAGTTTTTTTTTCTTCTATCAAAGGGCGGATACTTTTCTAACAGGCCTTATATTTTCATGTTCTGCACAACAAACCTAGTAGGAAGGTATCACTCGTCCTCGTCTGTCTCCACGTCCTAGTCCTGAGTTTGCGCTGTAGCAATCATCATGTTGTACAAGCTTAGAATAAATGTAGAACAATTAATGAACATTTTTATTTTGAAGCCTAACGTTCCTGAAAACCCTGCAGGAAACCTTTCACCACTGGAGTAGTTTGCCTATAAGGAACAACAGAGCATCATTGCAGAAAAAAAACATTCTAGATAACTTTGAGAGCCTCCGATACTTCCCTTAATTATGAAATGCAAGCTTTTTAAATGCTATTGCTGTGTGTGCCTATTTTATTTTTGATGAAATTAGGTTTCACCAACAAAACTGTCATATATATGTTAATATACATATAAATGTCTTGTGCTAAATAAACTTTGAAATAAGTGCTTAGCAGAGACCGCACTGCAATACTTGAGAAACTTCTGGATTACTTTAGACTATTCTAATTAGTCTGTATACGTGACCTATGCATAAAAGATGATGAATTCTGCTGATGATCCGATTACTGATGAATGACGTTTGAGCGTCTGTGCTTGTTTACACTTTGAGTATACATCCTTAGCTGGGTACTAGTTTGCCCAATAAAGAGTTTCATCTTCAGTGGCTGCATTTTTCTTCATCGTCACAACTATGTGATACTATTCCATCACAGCACTTGTAAGGATGAAATTCTTGCTCGAGTCTTATGACCACTAAAAAAAATACATCATTGTCACAAGGGGACGTGTGACACACTAATGTCCTCATCAGTTCGCACTACAAACAGAACTAGCTAATTACCAAGAACTGGCACAGTGAAGTGTTAAAATGCTACTACTATATTAAAATGAACTGCGGTTACTATTGCTTCCTGTACAAATGCAGTGAAGAGCGGTCCTGCTTACCGCCTGCGGCAACATTCTCGGCGATGCCAAACTTATTTCTGTACGTAAATCCTGCCACAGCAACGGTCCTACAAAAAGGAAAAAAAAGAAAGAAAGAAATTAACTACAAGGAATGAAGCATGCAGGGGGTATTTCAGGTACTCTAACAGTGTCGGCTATTTCTTTAGCTAACTGGCAACTACATTGCCGCAGTCCACAGCCGTAATTGCTTCTGCTCATGGAACAACACTGGAAAGTTGTAAAAGTATGTTCCTGGTGAGTTTTTGTACTATGCTTTCAAGCAGCCAACAATGCAGCAGTTATTCCTTGACATCGGTGAAGGCCGATAGAATCACCAAATGAAGAAATACACATGCTTCCCTGCACCGACCTACACGCTCCTGGAAACACTGCTTACCTGAGCCCGTAAACGCTTCTGACCCGTGGTGGCAGTGGCGTCATCGACGCTTCGAGCATTGCCAATACCCAAACTACCACACCATATACCCAAAGTCCACAATTGTCAGCTGACTTAAGCATCTTGCGTGACATTGTTACCATGGCTGCTGCAGGTATCACATGCCTCCCTGCAAGCACAGGAGCTATCGCACTGGAAATAAGTTGCAAGTTTGGAGAAAAAATTAAAAGAAAGTGCTCAAGGTCATGTCATGTGCACACAAAGGAACACACCTTCTTTCCCTTTTATCATCCCCCTCCCCGCATAGATTTTAGCACACTCGCTGGTGCAAATACAGAGAGAAAGCGCTTCAAGCGTGACACAAATCCCTGTAACTTGGCTTCTACTTGAAGGATCAAAAAAAATTCTGTGGCTGCCGACTTTTGACACAACTGACTCTTTTGATGAATCAATTAGATCATTACTTGAAAAAGTGCTGCAAGGTCTCTTTAATGACAACTAAAAAATGATGACCATAGTCGCATTTCACTTACATGTAGATCGCTGAAAAGGCCGTCATCCTCCAGCCAAGTTTCCAGGCACCTCTGAGAAATTGTAAAAACATTGTATCTTGGAGCTCCCGCTGTAAGGAAGAAATTGAAATGAGCACAAAAATGTGAAGTGTTCTTCAGCATCCCATGTAATCTCATTGCCATTCAATTTTCCTTAATACCGGCACAGTGCCACTGCAGCATTATTGCAGTGTGCGCATTGTAAAAGTGAATCTTGAACCATCAGGCAGTGCTACATCTGAGCACACACGACCAATTTCAATATCCCTAAACTTAATTTGTAATCAGAATTATTTTACATAAGTACGAGTCTAACATTGATATGTTCAAACAAAAGAATTATTCTAATACGCATTCCTCACTAAACTTCAATACAAATGTATTATCAAACAGCCCAAAGAAACAGTCCAAATACTACATCTAAACGAAGAAACTGAAATAATTCCTTTTTTCATGTACCTTGGCATGCCTCCACAAGTGATTTTTAATAAAGCACAGAAGGTTGTTTTTAAGGACTATATTCTGGCTGCAAAAGCGATGGAACTAAAAAGATACCTCCTTGTGTGCAGTCTATTACGCATAGCTTGTGGGTGTCAATGAAGGCATATAAAAGAATGACGCACAAACTGCTTTTTTTGGCAGATGTGTTGTTCTTTAATACATCTATGCACTCACTAACTATGCTTAACAGCCAAAAGCACTTTCTGCCCCTGGAGACCTTACAAATGCGTCACACACAAACAGTCGATGCACGTTGGCACCGCGACATATCGGCAGCACTGAGCACTGGCCCGCTTAAAGAATCCATAATACTATTGCGATTGAAGAATGAAAAAATAAAGGCAAGAAAGCTTTTTTGCACACTGCAAAAATTGGCGCAACACTTTCGGTGCTGGAATTGTTAGATGCACTGTGTAGTGCGCACTGATGTGTAAGAGTTTTACTTCTGATGACAACTGCATAACAGGACAGGTTTTTTTTGTAGCTCCCAAACTGACACTTCTGTGCAACTCACATTCTATTAGTATTTTATGGGGCAGCCCTTCAGCATACTTCTTTTTTGAAGAAAGCAGTGCACACTTTCACAAAGCAAACCACACTGTCTGAACACATAGTACTCTTCACTGTACATCACAAGTGCAATGAAAATAAACCATGCCATCAATGTCCAGCAAGCTTCACAGTGCAGAAAAGCTGCCCTGCAGGGCTTTAAAGCTTGTCTCAGTTATGCCATAGTACTGTAGAGAATTTCACAGTGGCAGGGAGTGTGACAGCTCCGATGGCTTCGGGAGAATTTTGTGCAGAAGAAAACACGAAATTCCGGGGAAGGAAAAGTGCATAGCTATGTTTTGCAGAAGCGAGTAAAAAAAAAAACACTCTTTCATTATGTTACTGAAAAGCACCAAAGCACTGTTTGCAGTTAGTGAGTCAGTAGAACTTTATTTTTCAGCTGAGGTATTAAAGCAGTACTAACACAAATTTTTGAATGTAAGATAACTAGTGATATGAATTTGTGTGGACACACACACATCATCTGTAAAACATCTATAGATAATATAGCCTAGAACATATTTAACACAAATCTTAAGGGGGCAAACTGTTCTTTGGGACCAGAAAGTGACAAAAAAATTCATTTTTTAAAATTAGAAAATTTTGTTTGTTAGTATTTTTCTATCTCTGCAAATTTTCACGCACCAGGAAGTGGTAATTTTTTGTAAAATCATTCTAACTGTCCAGATTCTTGGTGCTGTTAACATGCAGAACCTGCAAAAAAATGGGGAACAGACTTCAAGGCTTTTTTATAATTTGCCGGCAGCTGTGTTAGGAACTCTGCTATGAATTTATGAGGACCGTTATTAGAATTGCAAAACATGCCCACCATGATTGTTGGTTTTTGAAAAAGCTGTGTGTTTTCAGTTTTTTCCATTTTTCTCAAAGAAGTAAATTTACGACTGTTCTCTGCAGCTAGGGGCAGGTTAATTCTTTTTGCAATGGAAACCTGTACGTGCATAGAATGCAGTATGGTAACCGAATTTAGAGCACAAGCCTTTTTTAATTATTTACTAATGAAAATTGTAACACAAGTCCAAGTGATTTTGAATATAGACAGCTCATTTTGCAGTAAAATAATCAAGAAAGGCCTAAAAACAAAAAACTCTTGCATACTTTCGATCTATTGTCATTAGTCTATATTGGCATATCTTAAATATCACTTTAAATTAAGCACTTGTTTTTTTATGGTGGCCTTAAACATTAAAAAGAGAACTTAAGTTATCTCAGAAACAAGATGATCGAGTTACAGGAAAACAAATTCAATATTTGCAACCAGAGGAAAAAAACTGCATAATCCTGTGCAGTTTGATCAAGATCACTGAAGAAACAAACAAAAAAATTTGGCAGATCCCACGTACCTGGGAATCAATGTTATGCGAAGCATGCGGAGAGAAGGTGACCGTGTTGATTTTTTTTTATTGATCGACACGTCATGAAATCACGCTATATACATGTACAAATTTTGCACGCATGGGCATATTTTAAAGAGTTGCAGGTGTTTATATAACCAGTTATTTGCACTTGCGCAACGATGTCAATTGGAACGTGCGTGTTAGCAACACGAGAAGTTGATATGAAGTGCTGATGCTCGCGAAGATGCTGGAACCCTGAAATTTATTATTTGTATTCGTCAGTGAATTAACGCTGCCTATGTCAGGTTTTTCTTAACACTGACATTTATTCTATGCCTTCGTTGGGTTGACGCTACCGATATCGGGTATTGCCTAAAGCTCGCGCATTAAAATTGTCCATGCATGTTCTCGTCTTTCCTGGGTAGATACTAAGTGTCAATCACCTGTAGCACATACTCGCATACCAGAGGCACATACCCGCCCGTGGGTTGTTTGACGATGTGCGCGATGGCATTGTGACATTATTCATGTCTTGACCAGCGCATCATCTATTTGTCAAACCATCTTACCCTCCCATGCTAATTTTGGTTCACGCCAAGTTAAGAGGGTGACCACGAGAGAACCCAAACGTAAATGGCTAGATAGATAGATAGGCTCAAAGTCACCGAAGTTTGCTCAAAAATGCTTCGCATTCAAAATGTCTAAGATCAGTCTGCCCTCTTAACGTTCATGCCATGCAATTGCATGCGAAATGGACCACCTAGCAACATTGGCTTTGTTCCAATACTAACTAAGAACCACCAACAATACGATTTTATGTAGGCTGCCACGCTTCTTGTGTATGCTCTCTTGTGAGTGCAGTGCCGCATGCACTGAAAGCACGTCACTGTATTGTGCGCACACATGGCCAGCTGCATTTACACGAAAACCCCACTGGGTCCCACCTCTCTCAGCGTTCTCTGAAACCTAAACTGTGCCTGGGTGCTAGAAAAATTCCTTCAAATATTTAACCCTTTTGCTACCAGTATAAAAGAAGAAAAACATGCCATAATTACTGAAAAAAAAATTTGCACAAAATTTGTTGACTTTTTTCTGAATCAGACACAACCACTCTTTAAATTCAAAGGGGTTCCCTTATATCACTGATCGCGTAAAGAAAAATAACTCAAAGACGGCTTCACCGCATGGAAACACTACAAGAAATGGCAATATAAAGCAAACCGAGACACAGATGGCCAACATGGAATAGTGTGGCCATCTAGTGCCAGGAAAGACAAGTACAATAGGTACTGTCTTCATTTGTTCTGTGTGGGACCAATTTTTGTTGATGACAAGCACAATTGTGATCAATCATTTTGCCACAAAATCTCATGACTATAATCATCAGAGGTAGCAAGAGGGCTCACTGTCATGCACTCAAGCAGACAAAGTTTGCAGATGTTATAACTGAGTCGTTAAACTTATTGCAACAAAAAAAAAAAAAACAGTGCAAATTTTGTGTTAGTACGCTTTATGATGACTGGCTACTACGAGGTTAAAGGGCCAGTAAACAACCCCAAGGTCCAAATGATCCTATGAAGCACGAACGATTCAAGTGCCCGAGAGAAGACATTGCAACAGAAGGCGACAAAAGCTCTGTTGAAATTTCTACATGACACGGACTTGAACAAGCGGCTGTAACAGCAGTGTCACACACTGCCAAAGACAAGACTGGACTATGACTGAGTGTGCGCGTGTGCTGCCGAATGTGCTTTGTTATCTCTCTTCCCTCTCTGCTCTCTATCTTTCATCTCCCCCATCCCCCTCCCATGTGCAGGGTAACAAACCGGCTGCCTACAGGCTGGTTAACCCCTCCCTGCCGTTCTTTCCCTCCTATTTTCCTTTCCTTCCTTCCAAGGTTCAAAACTTGTAATCAAGAGAAATACGTGCACTTTTACTTGGTGAACATGCTGCCGCAAGAATTTCGTGAATAGACGCTATATTAGGGCAGTTACAGCAGTTAGAACATCGGTATCAGCTGGTTTCAAGTTTCCGCGAGGCCTCGCCACCCTACTCCCTCACATGAAGGGGGACACGTAGCTCGTCGTCGTGACTCCACCCACTTCGGCAACGTAACACGACAGTGCCAGTGCCGATGCTTCTCTGCTGCCTAGTCGTTCGATTTTGCAGCCGACAACGAAGCAACGCTGTTTCCCCATGTTGCTTATGTCGAGGGAAAAGCATTCACGCACAGGCACTATGCTGACCTGTAGATGAGCGAGGAATGTGTGGCAAAGACACAGAGGCCATGCAATCAACTTAACAGGGCAAATTTATGACCCTCTTGGTGTCACCTGTGCAACGTATCTGCATACCATCATGTAAGTCAGCACTGCACAGCGAGACACTAGGCCTACTCTTGCTGATGACGTCAGTTTCATATTGAACGTTCTGTACGAAATTGCAAATGACGCAGAATCCTAGTTCGTTACACGGCTACAAGTTTCTGCTAAAACTAGACGGAATCAAAACAAACCCACACAAACCAGTTTCTGTGCTTTGCAGCAGCATATCACAATTTCCGGGAATCATGGTGGCTTTGGCGCTGGAAGCTGTAAATGTAGCACTTTGGTGCGAGTGGCACAGCTGTACTAACCCGTAGTCTAGAAGCACACTCTGTTGGGATGGTCAGTTCATGTATAGGCTACAAAAACATGGCTGTTCTTGCAGGACAAAATAACAAGGGAATGGGTCAAGGGGTTGCGCTCCTCTAGACCTCTTCCTTTCTTATTTTGTCATGTGAAAGAAGCCATATTTTTGCGCCTCTTGTTTCAACATCTTGACTGCACAATAAAGACAAGGACAAAGGGAGGTAAGACGACACCTGCAGTACATTTTGCGCCTTGTGTGTGGACATCTACCAACCTGGCAGAGAATGCAACCAAAGGTGTACCCACCACTGCTTGTTTAGGGTTGAGAAAAGTGCTTCCTTGGTTCTTGCGAATGTAATTGGCC